CCCCTCCAACAACATACCTCCAAAGCCTTCCCCTCCCCTTCCCTCCAAACTCCCAAACATACCCTAAGGGTGTTTTTGGGAGTTGGTTTTTGGAAGAGAGAGGAAGGCATGTGAGGGAAATAAACCCTCCTATTGTGTTTGAGAGTTTAAATAATATGAGGGAAAGGTTTTGGGGGTGTTATAAAATCCTTCTAAGCCCTTCAAAACCTCGATTTTCTAATTCCCCCGATTTGAGGGTTTTATAAGATCTAGCTGCGCAAATGAGAGATTTATCTTCTGAAACTAAAACCGCTTTCGCATAAAATCTTTATGAGCAACTACTCGCTTCATTTCTCCGCCGCTGAAACCCCTCAAGTCCCCAAACCCTCCTCTTTTGAAATTTGCAACTCACAAACAAGAGGAGAGAATCCCTTCCATCTCCCTCCCCTTCCCTTCTCTCTATTCCCCTTCAAAGCCTTTCCCTTCCCTCACCCTCAAACTCCCAAACACACCCTAAGGGTTCGGGAGAGAGTTTTGTTTCGTGTACACATTGACATAAGTGTAATTGTTTATATACGGACAATTATGTTTGTGTTTAGTAAAGGAAAATATTTCTTTATACACGGTCAATTACGTTTGAGTGTGTAAGTAGGTGTGTAACCCGTGTACACGAAAGCAAAACTGAATGATGTATTTGCACTCCTACGTGTATCTCTCCTTTAATTTACAAAACAACATTTCAATCTTTTTGATTACTAGTATTATTCAATAAGTTTGACGACCCTGCTACACAAAGTACGTAGTATTAATTAAAACAACAATGCCAATAAATGCCAAAACCTAATTTTTGCAGAGTTTTTTTTTTCAAAATAATGTCAAATAAACAAATATTTTCGAAAATATGGTTATGTTAAAAGTATTTCTCAAAATACTACTCTCGTAAATCTTAGTTAAAAGAACCGCCGCCCCTTGAAGTGAGGGTTTATGAGAACGACTGAAGCACGCTCCAAGCATAGTAACGCGATACACGCATAGTAACGCGAGATAGGCCCCACAAAAAAAACGTATTTATATTTCAAAGTGATTTAACTTTTTATTTGTAGTTTGATCATTACAAAAAATATATCAAAATTCACAACTTTTTATTATCTTTCATATGACACCAATATTGAATATATACAAACGAAAAAATATTTTAACATTTTTTAAAAATGTTACTAGTATATCTTTTTTATTTGTACTCCGATTGTTACAAAAAATATTTTTAAATTCATAACTTTTTGTTATCTTTCATAAGGCACTAATTTCGAATAAACCAAAATTAAAAATCAATTTTATTAATTTGTGCATTTTAGAATCATTTTTTACGGTGCACACATTTATTTGGAGTAATCGCTTAAATAAAATTGCACATACTCTTATTTTACTCCTTGTACAGTTTTAGGATGTTTCTTTTGGGTCGTACCAAACCTGATCTATTTAAAATGTTCTCAGTGCAATACCAAGCATAATTCTTTTGGAGTTCTTTTAACTGGGGTTATGGGAGCAGTATTTTGGGAAATACTTTTAACCTAACCTTATTTTGGGAAATAATTTTTATTTAACATTATTTTTGGAAAAAACTCATTTTTGCAAGCCCCCAAATATTGTACAATAATAATTGATGAATTGCGTAACTCATTATACTACGTATATACTCCGTATTTGTTTGAATCCTTCTTCTCAACAAGTCAATAGCCTCACTGAAAACTCTAGGGGTGAAAAACTATCTAAAATTCAAAACCCATTGGCCATTGAAAATCAATTGAAATCAACTAAATAAAATCAATTGAAAACAGTATCAAATCAAACTAAATAAAATCAAAATTGACCGAAATCAAGCCGAATAAAATCAGAAAAGGCACAAATTAATAAAAACGTGTTAAACCTACTAAAGTCGTTAACGAATAGATCGAAAATTAACCGAAACTAATCTGATATAGACTGACTTAATTAAGAAGTGCATCCGATTCTCAATTTCACCTTTTTAAAAACCAGACAACAAAAATCGAATGGATAAAACTAAATCCACTAAACCTTTATGTATGTTTAGGAATTTGGAGGGAAGGGAGCGGAAGGCTTTAGATGTATATTGTTAGAGGGGAAATAGAGGAGAAGGTGATGAATGTCTTCTTTGTATTTTGGAGTAATAAAATTGGAATGAGAAGGTTTTTGAAGAAATTATAATTAAAATCACTTTGAGATATGACGAATTCAAATCATTGAGTTGATATTCGTTTCTAATTTATCTTAAATTATCATCTTGTTAATTATCCTCCAACACTCTCCAAATTCGGGGAACTTAAAAATTAAACATTTGGAGGGTTTTGAAGGGTTACAAAAGCCCTCTAAAACCATCCCTTAAATTTTTTAAACTCCCAAACATGAAAATGAGAGTCATAAACCCCATTAACTTTCCCCTCCCTTCCAAAACCCAACTCCCTAACACACACTTAGAGAATCCATACCCTCATTGAGCTACGACTAAATTAGTACTCCCTTAGTCTCGGAATTAACTTCTCACTTGGACTTCACACATATTGAGAAAATAAATTTACTATGAGGTAGATTTTACTGGTTTGACACTGTTTCGATATTGTTTTTGCACTATTTTGATATAGATAAATTGCCAAATAAGAAAATGAGAAGGTTAATTTTAGAACTACCAAAAAGAAAAGCGAGAAGTAAATATGAATCATGGGGTACATAAATTTGTCGGAATGCCTCTAATATAGAGTTCTTAGTCCCATAATGCAAGTGGTAATTCATAGGACCACACCCAAGGTGGGCGGTGCGTTTGAAAGGGTTTACCGTACAGCTTCATAGCACAACTTACTATGAGTGAGTCATAAATTCACTACACATACACAGCTTAGTAATTAATTGGATAACCGTACGGGTAGTTCAACGGTGGTTGGATGAGGTTGTTGGATTGAGGTTTCAGGTTCAATTCCCGGCAACGAGACTGTGGGAGTTTCATGCAGTATAGTGGATTTTCTTGTGCGTACCAAGCCCTGAACCACCTCATTCAGAAACTGTTTGAAATCATACAGTGACTTACTCATGCACCATTCTATCGAGTCGGAATGTGGAGGTGTTTGGGGTGGACGATTCCACCTTTCTGATTGAGTAATTAATTGGATATACATACTTCAGTTCAGTCTTTTGTACTGTGATGTATAGTTTTATATTTATGTTTGTGGGAGAGTCTCTCCTGGATCCAATGTACGTTAGATAATCTATTATTGTAGGTGTAGACAATAATTGATGGGAAGAATGAGTTTCAAAGTATTTATTATTACCACTTTGTCTTTTGCGACAAATCATTCATAACCACTCCACTTTCTTTCACGTGCAATTGTTCTTTCATTTACCTTTGGCGTGTTCTGTAGGGTTCAGTGGCCTCCTCATAGTTAATTAATGGTCAAGTGTTCTACTCCCTCCCTCCCATATTTCTCCTGAAGTACAAATAGCACACAGATTAAGATAGTGGAAATGTGTGGTGGATAGTTGTGCAGAGGAAAGAGAAATGTGTAAGAATGTGTAAGAATGGTTGTGAACCACAAATTCTTTGCTAAAAAGAGAAAGAAGAGATAAATTTGGAACAAATCAAAAAGAAAAGTATGAAGATAATTTTGGAACGGAGTGAGTAAATATCTAGCTCCTTCCGCCGGGGATTGCTTAGCCCAGGTCCATCCCGCCCATGAAAATTAATACCAAGTATTGAACCAAGTAAATATTTTATAATTTCCTATAAGAGATTATGGGGAGTCTAGATAAACAAGGCTTAAAGAAATTATTAGGCAAGGGTCAAAACATAATACGGAGTATTTCAGTGTGTTTTTTATAGTTTATGCCGTTTGGCAATCCTCATTTTCGGCTTATCAGGCTTATCAGCAAACTTTTTTACCAAACACGTAAATTTTGTTTTCGCGCGCTGAATTGTGTAATAAGCCGAAAAAGTAAGGTTGGAGTTACTTTTCTGGCTGTATTGGCTGAAGTTACTGTAGATGATCATTTTAGCTATTTTTACATATCATTTTTTCTTTATTTTATTAATAAAATATATTTTAAAAATATTTTTTTCTTGTATCATCAGAATCAGCCAATGCAGCCACTTCAGCCAGAAGTCCAGAACTTCATAAATTTCAGTAGAATCAGCCATAACAGCCGATTTTTGTGCTGCCAAACGGGCTCAAAATTTGGTTTATGTTGATTTGCATGTGGAATAAGAAACGCTAAATTAAAGTTATGTGATTGGAATTTATGCAAAAGAATTAGAAAAAATGTATTTAACAACATACTCCGTATTTATTACTTTGAATGTAAATAATATATTTTTGGAAAGACTAAATAAGAAAAGTTGAAAAAATTATAAGCTAAAAGGAGTAGAATGTTGAGTTATTTATCGTTAACTAGCTTCCTTTTCGGCTTCCATAATGATTCTTTTCATATTACCATACCATGGTCATATGCAATATTTTTGTTATGATTCACTAACTACTTGTAATAACATTTAAAACTAATATGTGAAATTCCTATGACTAATAGGATTTATAAAAATATGATTAAAAATGTTTTTAATTGGACTGATTTCAACCCTTGATGAGATGAGACCAAACTTAAACACAGTTGTAAAATACATAAAGAACAACCATTTACAAGATCAACTTAAACAAATTCAACCAACCAGATCAGATCATATAATTACATTTCAATTTAAAACACCCTTAGCTCAGTTCCGGATAATTAATCATATATCAAAAGTGTGTACCAAATTTTCAGGTTTGTGACTAGTCCGGGATTGATTCACATTTTACGGTTCGTCACTCCGTCTAGTACCTTGTTGGTGACTAGTAGAGATGACTAAAAATATTGGTGGTTGAACTTCCGATTAAAAAAATCCGAACCAACCCATTTCAATGATGCTTTGAAGGAAAAGAACCAGTTCGAATCAAATTCGGAGTCCAAAACCCAAAACCGGTTAACATTGCAACTTGCAAGCAAAAGTTTATCCCGACTTTTGGGACCAAGCCCAGGCCCATTACTAGAATGAAAGCATGCCATGAAAGTATGAAACAATATAAATGAGGCAAGTGAAGAAGGAAACATGAATATATGAACTAGTGTCCTGAATTAGGAATACACATTCCTTAGTGCCAACTGTCAACTTGTGAGTAGTAGCAGTATCAGCTTACAACTTCCCTGGGTTATATATGTATGCCCCACCACCCCACTCCCACAAATATCTGATTTCTCTGAAAAGGAAACTTAGAGTTGCTGTAAATGACCTGTCTTTGCTCCCAAACTAGAGAGATTCATCTCACAGTGGAAAATGCAAGAAATGAACCACATTCCACCAACGCATGAGTCAAGAATGTTTCTCCTTGTCCCACACTGGATATCAACAGCCGTGGAAACAATTCCATCAGACCCACCAAACAATCATGTAACCAATAAAGTGTTCAGTGTGAAGACATGCCACTTTATAGGATGATAAGCAACACATTACAAGAGTTTTGGCACTATACAAAATAGGGTAACTAAGGTGCCAGCACAGTTATGCATATCTTTGAGCACATGTACAAAATAAGCAGTTGAAGTGCTGATACAGTTATGCATATCTTTGAGCACATGTACAAAATAAGAACAAAAATGTTGGCAAAAAAATGAAGAATAGACAGGTGAGATCTTGCTGCTTGCTGTCCTGCTTCCAAGATACAATGATGATTAATCACTTCCTTTCTCATAAGAATCAATCTTAGTGCCACCCCAAGCAAGATAGCTGTCCTGAGATTCAAACTCCTATTTAAAATACCCACATAAGCATGAAAGTATTAGAAAATTGCAGCCAGATTTCACACGTTCTAGAAAGAATGCAAACAAGAGCATAGGCTATGTTTGGTATTACTGTTGGTTTTATGCCTTGTTATTTAAAAAAATTGTCGATTTTAAGAACCCGTTTGGTAAGACTAAATTGCTTAAATATGCTGAAGTTGTCGAAGTTATGGAATAATTGGTTGAATTTTGTGAATGATAGGAAAAAAAATAACTTATTTCATTGATAAGGTAATGAAAAAGATCATCATCATTATCCCAGTGCTGCAAAGGCTCCCACCTACGGTGGGGTAGGGGGTCATATGTACGTAGTCTTACCCCTGTGTCTATGGCACAAAGAGACTGTTTCGAGATGAACCAAAGTGAAAATCGCGTCAAAAAATGCATGGACTGACTGCGGCTTCATAACAAAGAAGCGCACACAGTTTAGTGAGCCATTTTGCTTTATTCCATCGTATTCCCAAGCCAAAAATAGTGAGTCTTTGGCTCCATTGCAAATGATGGAACTTAATGAAAAAGATATATGGGAAAAACTAAATACTACTCTTTATCTAGTACAGCTAATTCAGCAAAATAAGTAACTCGAACCTTGCTCTTTTCATTATAAATCAATCCAGTGTGGTAACAAATCTTGCTAAAAAGGCACTAAAACCGCCAAAGAAATGAAAAACTGAAAAACCATAGCATTCAGGTTCATAACTTACAAGCTGGCTTAGTCGAAAGTCAGGCGGTGTGTCTTGAACTAGAGTTTGAGAGTCAATGCAAAGAAAATCTTGGCTGTTCTCTATGTGTCCATCATCAGAAAGATTAGGTTTGCACTTCCCCTCTTTATTAGCAGTTTGAATTGCAAGAAGTGGATCAAGGATCAACTCTTGGCACCGTTCAAGATCCTTTTTAAAAGTCTCTTTGTCCAAGTGCCTATAATCAGAAAGCCCAGGCGTGTCCTTTTGCTCATTACAACCATTTTCACCTCCATCCCTGTTTGGAGATTGGCTCCGAAGAAATTCATCAACTAAAGAAAACCCTTCTGCTAGCTGTTGTGTATCTAATAAATACGCTTCACTATCCCACGCTTCAGTCTCATTTTGCACCTCCAACTTCTCAGGTTGGCTCCCTGAAGTTTCCTCTTGATTGATATCCTTAAAAGATGGACTCTTTGTGTAAGCCTCTGTGCAATTGATTACCTGCTGCTGAATGTCAAGGGAGTGTGTGTGAATACATGAAGAGCCGAATAAGCCTGCATTTACTTATTTAATTTATTAATATATATGAAGAATATATACAACAAAAAATTATGTGCTTTAAATTATAATAACAGAGACTTAAAATCTTAAATTAGTTTTTAGATCTCCAAAGTACATAATCTTTACAAAAATTTATTGGAAAGCATGATTTGTCTGAAATGGATGGAATCTGTCTAAAATGAAAAGAGTTTGGTAACATCCATGTTAACCAAATAAGTCATGTCAAAGTTTATTCATTCTGCCAAAGTTAGCAAACGGGGCCTGAATTGCTATGTATAAAAACTTTGGGATAACTGCAGAAAGTGCTTCAGTTGTAGTAGATGAAACGAGTAGCTCTTCATGCACTATAAGTGTGTATATAATGGCACCTGATTATGCCTATTTATCTCCTACATTTGTTTTATTTTTTGTTTCCTAAACGCTGTTTTTTGCTAGTCTAATGCATCACAATACTTTATTATTCTTTTGTTTATTACTCTCTCTGTTTCACATTGGCTGACAGTCTGACATTTAAAAACTTATTAAGCACTAAAATCTTTAGAAATTTCGTAAACATCCTAAAGTCTTACAGAAAGCACCACTTACATAAACCAACCTTTCGTAGAATTGTTCAATATTACGTTATTTGAGGATTGATATGGAGAATGAAAAAAATGGAAAGCTTGTATTAAATGCTCTTTTGGTTTTATAAAGAAAAGGATATTGTGCGACAAAAAATAATCAACCAAAACTACACTACTGTGAAATGGTAATACTGATTCAATAGTCTGCTTAGCTTGGTTCTCAAATTTTTCCATCATTTGCAGTGGAGCCAAAAATTCATTATTTTTTGGCTTGAGATAACGATGGAATAGAGTAAAATGACTCACTAAACTGTCTGCGCTTCTTTGTTATGAAGCTGCAGTCAGTCCATGCAATTTTGGACACGATTTTCACTATGGGTCATCCGGAAACAGTCTCTCTACTTTAGTACAGGGGTAAGACTGCGTACATCCGACCCCCCTTACCCCACCGTAGGTGGGAGCCTTTGCGGCACTGGGGTAAATGAAAATGATGAAAATGATGATTGGTAGATGGCCTTGAGAATTATTTATTGGTTGATGCAGCCAACCTTCGAAAGTATGCTTTTACTTCCCTTTACTTTCAACTCTTTGGGTAAGATTGGCAACTTATAGGGTGTAAGTTATTAGCAAAATACAACTTATCGCTAATAAGGTAGCCTATATCATATAGTGTGGTATGAAAATATACAATAATATAAAAGGTAGTTTAAAAATACTTTTACAAGTTAAGAGGGTAAGAATGGAAATATGCACAAATGTTCATCAACTTATTCGAAAAGCTGATGAACAAATACAGATTATGTTACTAAGAATTCCAATGAAACAAAGTTTATTTGAAAAGATTTCCTTCAAAATGGGGGAAATAACTTTAAATAATGCCAACTATAACACATAAACAAATAATAAGACATAGTTTAGAAATAACCTTAAGCACAACCATTCTACCCAGTATCGATCATTTAAATATAATGCATTTTGATACAGGGGCACTTTCCAACTATAAACTAGGTCATTTGACCCATCAAAAATTGATATCGACCCATCAAATAAGTGACTCCTTTTTAACATATACCTATTACTTTATTTTATGGTTTGGCATTTGCTTTTTATGGGTTAAAATGTTAATGACCGGATTAGTAGTAGAAAAAGGGCTGTGTTTTATTTTTGTTATATATTCAAATAGTTGATATTGTTTAAAGTGATTTCTAAATATGTATCATTATCAGATTGTGGATGATAATTTGTACTACGTATTATAAGTTAGATTCTGTTAAAAAGCTAAAACATTAATTATAAATTAAGTTTTGACATGCAACCATATAGGCTTAGTAATGAATCATAATTTGTTTTCACATATCATCATTGCCCATCAGTACTTTTCAAACATGTGATAACTCAAAAATACCTCAACATTAGGGGTCTCCATCCCTGAAACTGAACTCAATGGTCTCCTTGCTAAACGAGCAGGTTCAGGAGTCGCAGTCTTAGGAGTATAAGGATCCCTCAAAGCATCTAAGGATTCAGGTTCTTCAGGAGACTCATGTTCAGCTCTCTCACTTTGTTTCACCACCTGCTGTTGCTGAAAAAACACTTTGGATATAACATATTCCCCTTCTCTTTCATCCTCTTTGGCCCCAAGATGATATTGGTGCATCACCCAATTTGTTTTTTCAGCAGCTTTAGCTCCCTTGACTGAGGCCATGTAAAGAACCATTATTTTTTTGCAACCTCTTTGTACACCATCCAACAACACAGGTTTTGTCCTACCCGTCTTGTGCCACCTGAAATCTCCAACATCAACACCTTGTACCTTTCGGCGCTTTCGGGTACCGGTATTATATGCTTTGATGGCTCTGTGAAACAAATGTGTAACGCTTCCATCTTGCTTAACACCTAAATGGTTAGTCCATCAACAAACATGAAGCTAAGGATGAATGAACAATTAGAATTTAAATAAGAGAAAATGATAAGTATGTGACTATTTAAAGGTAATGGACAAAAATGTGACTATTACATCGTAGTGACTATGATGATCATACTGTCATATTTTTGTCCATAAAGTTTAATTTTAGTAATATTTTAGAAAATACCCTTTTAAAATAAATACCATGTGGGTAATAGTTTCCTTATTTGAAATGCTATAACAAAAGATTTGTGAGAATAGAGGATAAGAAATTAATAGTTACCTGGTAAGTTTTGAGGATGAGTGTAGCATATCCCGTCATCTTCATCAACTGTTGGAATGAACTCGTCAATAAAAGGATGGGGTTTGAGATTATCATTTCCAACTTTTGCAAGTAAGTGCAAGATTATCTCTTGATCTGTTGGATCAAACTTCACACCTCTTGGCAATCCTGGCCATTCCTGAGTTACCTAAAATGACGATGTCCTTCTTAAGAATAAATATGAAAATACAGAGTAAAAAACAGCATATAAGGTATTGCTATTCTTTTCATCTTTTATAATCTATCCCCTAGTCTTAATAGCTCTAACCTTTTAAAATTAAAGACAATTACTTTTGTGGCAGAAGTTGAAAGCTCTTATTTACTACCACATATTATTTGATTATCAATGCAATTTGAACAAGATTGGATATCTTCAAGCAAGAGTTAGATTGAATGTGCTTAGCTTAAATCTAAGATAGCAGTAATGCAGTTCAAGCTGAATATAAATCAAACAAAAGTATAGTAAAAAGTAACTTTTTAAACAAAAATAAATAAATCAAAGATAAAGAAATACATCGCTGTTGTCAATGATATAGTGGCATTTGGGGCAAGTCCTTGAAGGGTTACTTTTCCAGTAAGCATTACCGGGATCACCTGATGCATTTCTGATTTTTGTTGCTATCCTGTTCCCATCAACCAACCAAGAAGGTCTGCAAGTTTTAAACCAAACCAATGGGGTAAAATGCTCGAGTATATTCATCCCAAAGGAAGCACGTAAAATTTAGTAACTACCCTATCTACTGTCATTCCATCATGAAGATTGCCAGTGTCCAAAATCCGAGTGCATCTCTCCTAGTCATTTATTTATTACCAAAACCCATATATAGTAATCATAATCTGAAAATAACAAAGTAACCCTTCCCCTCTAAAACCCTTCAAAACCCAAACATATGCATAACCAAACGGGCCTTTTAACCCGTTCAAAGATACAACTCTATTAGGAGAAAACCAAGAAATGCGAAATAAAAATATGAACTTTAAGTCAAGTTTTGACTTGAAGAAACCAGTCATTCGTAGAAATTTGTAATAATATCCAGCAGACATTGGAAATGAAGAAAAAAGATACATTCTTGAGAATCTTGACATTGGGTTTCAATGAAGTGGGCTAAAGAAAATCTTTATATGAATAAACATAACAATGATATAAAATACAGATTTAAAAGAGAAGAAGGTAGCCGGATACCTGGCCATGGGAGCGCTATTGCCGATTTCTGATGTGTTCTAGGCACTTTATGGATGCTGCTGAGAGTATATACTCTGTAGGAGTTGGGGTGTTTGGATTTCTTCCTCCTTAGCAGAATGAGCTTTTTTGAACTTGAAAGAGTTTAAAGTGCGGTCTGTTTTCAAATACTCCGATTCCTTAATGGATAACCCATATTATTATTACTCGGAAAAAGGATCATATAACCCTTCTACTATATCAAATAAGTCAATTCAACCCTTTTACAAAAAAACATCACATAGATGCACTTACTTTTAAAAAAACATCAAATATGTCGATTTCAGGTAATGGGTTGATTTCACATATATTTTGCTTTTCATTAGTTTTTTCATTTTTCTTTCTTGTGTCTGCGTCTTATACAGTAGTTAGTAGGGGTGTGCACCGGTCTAAAACCGGACCAGAACCGGTTAGGACCGGAACCAGAATCATCATTTTCTATGAACCGAAGACCGGACCTAAATCTAACCGGTCCGGATCGGTCCGGACCTGAATTTTCCGGCCCGGTCCGATTTTGACTCTAATTGACCCGGTTTTAGAAAAAGACATATTCTCATAGAGTGATCTTAACCGACCCAATTTTTTTAAGGAATAAGGCTTGGATATTGTTGTTTCAAACTAAAATTTTATCTGCGGATATGCTAAATAGGCTAAATAATTGTTTAGCCCATTTATTAATTTTGAAATATAATCATCAAAACTATTCAGTCGTAACAATTAATTTCCCGCAGTAATTCAAACTACAATCTTTTGTGTATATTAAAATGGGAAAATGTATTGTAGAGTAATAAAAATAAATTACGTCCAAATATATACTACGTATAAACTACATGCACACCTACAAATAAAGAAACAAATAAAAAGCAATTTGGAAAAATCAAACAAATATAAACTGCGATCATAGTAGTGCACATAAATAAACAAATAAAAAAAAACTTAGGAAATAATTAGATAGCAAATATGCACTCCATATATATTCGTTTATATAATAAAAGACAAAATTAAACCATAAACATAATGACTAATGATACATAACGAACAAAAAAAAATACAGAACGAACTATATATTTTTACGGAATAATAGTTTACCGGTCAATTCCGGTCCGCACCTGTTTTTTTCGGGTTTGACCCGGACAGGACCGGAACCCGGAATCTTGAAAAACTAAGGACCGAAACCCGGACCGGTTAATACCGGTCTGGTCCGATTCATTCCGGTCTGATTTCGGTCTAAAATATGGTCCGACCCGATTAATGTACAGCCCTAGTAGTTCGTACAATCGTACTTGTTATATGCTTCGTAACTATTCTCAAATCTCAACCTCCTTGCTAACATTCTCGTTTTCTTCCTCTATGGTTTTCTCTTTTCATTTTTTGTATTTCTTTTCATTTTTTATCTTCCACTAAAATGCTAAAATCTCTTCCCCTTGTCTTTTTTTTTTTTGAATCTAAGAGAAAACGGATTATGTCTTTAATTTTTGAGAGCTTAAAATCAAAATTCCCAAACTCGTACTAACTTCCTATTCTACCCTTTCCCTTATCATTCTTAAAGAATTTTAAAAAATAAAATAAAACATAAAAAAGTCAAATAAGAAAAACAAATAAAACAGAAAAAATACCTACTTTAAGAATCAGTTTTAAGAATCAAATTCAAACACCCCTTTACTTTATTACCTACTTTACATTCACTTTCTCTATCTCACTATACTTTATCTACTTTATTGGGGGCATAATAGGAAAGTCAAAACAAAAAAAATCCACTATCTTAACAATCGTGAAGTCAAATCGTGAACTTCTTTTGGGACCAGGGGAGTATTCATTAACTTCTTCCCTACAATTTTTTTTCTTTTACCTTTTTCTTTTCAAATTACACTTGTCCGTTTACGTAAATCCAAAACAGAATGAACAAAAAAAAATTGAAAATGAGAAGATAAGGGAAAGAAAAATGTGGAGCTCCAATCATTGAAAAGAAAAGGGAAAGGAAGGCAAAAAAAACTGTGGCTCTTTCCTTGAATATTACTAATTTGAAGCTAATTTCCAAAAATATGATCATTTTTACAAAAGGACAAAAAAGTGACTAAAAAGGTTCCATATTTGGAAAAACTTGATGTCACTGCCATTTTTTATATCACTGTCGGATTTGTATGTCACTACCAGATTTTTATGTCACTTTTGAAATGTCGCCACCGATTTTATGTCAATTTCAGATGTCGCTGTATCGGAAAATGTGTAACTGTGTAATCCGGCGACGGCGACGGCGTCGCAAATGGTGGGTGGCGAGGTCGAAGATGGCAGCGGCAAACAGGTCGACGGTATGACGCGCAGGTGAAGTGTGAAGGAGAGAAGCGGACGAAGAGGCGCAGGTCAGCCCAAAGGGATTTTTTAAATTAGATAACTTTTTTGTCATTTTAGAAATCAGTCATATTTTTGTCATTTTAGAGCCCAAAGGGTGACTCTTGATTTTTGTTTACTTTTGGTATGTGGCAAGTACATCATAGGAGAAGTGACGAACATACATTGCCGATCATGATTGGGTTACCGTTATCTAAGTCGCCTGGGGATTAGCGAATCATATTGCTTCTGAGTGGATGATATGGTCTGAGTCTGATCCTAGGACGTATGATCGAGTAATGTGTTCTGATCGTTCTTGTTTGTCTTTTGTGTCTGGTCTTGTTGTTTTTTGGTTGGATTTGATTGTTTTAATATGAGCATTTCCTCTCAAATAGACATACTTGGTCGTATGAACATTTAAACAAGATTAACATGTACTCGAACACAAATGTCAAATTCGAAGACAATTGTCAAAATTTGCAGAAGTGATAGTGATTGTGGTTGCGGTCATTGCGGTTGCGATTAATGTGGCCGTTGCAATGTGTATTGTGATCACTGCGGCATGACATATTTTTTAATTTGCATGAAAAGATTTTTTTGAGAGAGTTGCATGAAAAGATAATAGAATGATTTTTTGCATTTTTTAAGTAGTTTAGTTTATCATTAGTGTTGAAAATAGGGTATGCAATTCTTTTTTTGCATTTTTAACAAATACGGAGTACAGTATAAAATATATACTCCGTAGTACGGAGTGGTTAAGTATATTACACAAATTAGGGTCGAAAATATAGAGATTTTTCCTTGAATATTACTTCGTACTAAATTGAAGTCAATTTCAAAAAATGTGATCACATTTACATAAAATCAAAAATGTGACTAATAAGTCATATATTTGAAAATTATGATGTTATTATATGATTTTCATGTTAGTAATAAATGTCACTGTCAAATTTTCATGTCACTGTCACCGCCGATCATGTCATTGTAACCGCCGACCGTGTCATTGAAGCCACCGTCGGTCATGTCATTGCCGCCACCGGCCGTTTAACTGAAACCATCGGGCGGTGTCACTCTTCACCGAAAATATTTCCAGCAATATGTTTTGGGGTGGATTTGAGATAAAAACGCAGAGAATCGCAAAACAATCAAAAATATGAACCCAAAATACAAGAACAGATCAAGGGTTTCGAAATTGGGATCTAAATTCAATTTCAGAATGCTCTATCCTTAAGAGGCCGTTTGGCGATTGGCAACCCTCATTTTCGGCTTATCAGGCTTATCAGTCAACTTTTTTACCAAACACGTAAATTTTGCTTTCGCGCGCTGAATTGTGTAATAAGCCGAAAAAGTAAGGTTGGAGTTACTTTTCGGGCTGTATTGGCTGAAGTTACTGTAGATGATCATTTTAGCTATTTTTACATACAATTTTTTCTTTATTTTATTAATAAAATATATTTTAAAAATATTTTTTCTTGTATCAGCAGAATCGGCCAATGCAGCCACTTCAGCCAGAACTTTATAAATTTCAGCAGAATCAGTCAGAACAGCCGATTTTTCGTGCTACCAAACGAGCTCTAAGTATTGGACATAAACAAAGTTGCTCAATAATATTCTCACTCTCCAATTTGTTACTCCGTATATTTTTAGATGACCGGTGTGTTTTTGAAGCTAAATTTGGTGTTCTTGGGTTGAAAAGCTTAAACCGCCATCAAGTGATTGAGCTTAAAAATTCATCCATGACAACCATTGCTTTTGCTAAGGAATCGTTATGAACAGGGACGGATCCAGGATTTCGAGTCAAGGGGGGCGAATTTTTTCTCGTTAGTATAGGGGGTGAAAAAATCATGGCAATTTTTTCCGCTTGTGTAGTGGGGCGAATTTTTTCGCTAGCATAGGGCTCTGCGGCTAATTTTCATTCAAAAAAATCCATCGATACATACACGATGATATTTAAATCCATCGGTAGAAGAATATTACTATCTCCGTCCCCCCTAAGTTTGAGACAAAAGGGTGTGGTGTGCTTTTTAAGAAAAAGTAGAATTGTGTGATTGATATTGAATTGATAAAGTATGAATAAAGTAAGATTGAATTTTAACCACTCAAATATTACCAAATATGATATGAGACAAACTTAATGGGACAGACGAAAAAGGTAAAACGAGACAAAGTTAGGGGGACGGAGGGAGTACATTCTAAGTTTAAACAATGAAAAATAATTTTAATTTTATAATTGTAAATGGTCTAAACAAAGTATTGATACATTAAAACATAAGAAATGACAAATCAAATGAACATTATTTGAAGGTAAAGAGTTTAAGAAGTACACATCAACCAAGTCTTTTTAAATAACTTCTGCTTTGTTTATCCATATGATCTTATTAGAATAAAGAATTGATTTTTGAATTGCAATTTTTGTCTACTAAGTATGGTGTTCGTGGGTCACGAAAAGTTTTCTTAATATTACAATAGTATGTGCGATATTATTATTTTTAGAGTAATATAATACATAGTATTGTTATTCACATATATGGTGCATATTGTATTTGTATTAATGCTAAAATAAGTTCAATTTTATTATCTATGCAACAAATTGTTTTTAGAAAGTAATAAGTAAATGAATTGTGTAATTTAATGTCAATAAATATTTATATTTTAGATTCACTTCACATGATCTAAAAAATTTTAACTTGTGTGTATGGTATTTAATATTGTTCGATATTTTACAAAATCGAGTACTAATTATCTAATAAAGATAATTAAATGTTACAAAGCTAGAAATTTTTATATAATAGGTATCATGTGTCTTAAACAATGAGT